GGGAGGTACTCTGCTCAACTCTCAGCTGTGCAGGTGTCAGCATCCAGCCCCTCACCCGTTTCACAACTCCAGGATTCAGTGGGAAGGGAAGGTTCTTCAAGTACAAAGTCCTCATAACTGGTGGCTGTGGGCGGGCGCCTGGCCCTGGCTATGGATGGAGGGCAGAACTCTTGCCAGCCATTCACCTGACGCTGGCTCTCAGCGCCAAGGCACGAGCTGGAGCTGAGATTCAACAAGTCACCAAAGGCTGGTCCAAAGGTGAGTCCTCTCCCTTCAGACTTGGGAATTTAGATCAGGTCTTCCAGCCTCAAGGTCTTAAGAGTACCCCCCAGATAGCTGTACACACTGTCCCTTCCCACTGGGCACAATATGTGCCCAGTGGCTGGGCTGTGGGGTCTGCACACAGCAGGGGCCAGTAACTGCTGGCTTCCTTGGCTAGTAGCCCTTCCCAGCTATCTCCAGGAAGGTCAGATCTTAAGCAGCAGCCCAAAAGTGATCTTTTTCCATGCGAGTTAAGCCAACATTATGGATGTGTTCAATAGCTTCAGTCCTCACAGACACACTTAATAGAATAGGCACGAAAAGTATGAGTAGGAGTTCTGGTGACCTAATTTCTTATTATTATTGTTGTTATTATTATTCTTGTATGTGTATGTACCATCAAATAGGATCTGACTGGTACAGGAGGAGATTGCCCCTCTTTCTCCAGTAGAGCATCTGGTGGATTTGAACCGTGAGCATCTGGGATTGCAGTGCAGCTTCTTGCCACTAGGCCACCAGAGCTCTCTTGGTGGCCTAATTTCTAGGGAGTTGCTCTGTTAGCCCAAAGGCTGTGCCTCTCCAGCACTTTGAATCCACCTGTGGGAGAAAGGTGGGTGAGCTCCACCTGTATGATTTATAGCCTCTGAAAATCTGCTAGAGGATCAGTTGAGTCGGTTCCAGCTCAACAGCATTAAGTTTGAATTTTTAAGTACAGAATGCTAACTAGGCCCTTTGAGAGGCCACAAAACTCCCTCCTTTTTTTTTTCTTTTTTAGTAAGAGAGCCTTTTGAGCCTTTGCTATGCACCATCTAGGGCCAGGTCAGGCCCAGAACCTTATTGGGCTGCAGTGACCACCCACAGCAGTGATCTGGCCTGGACTCTAGGCTGAGGGCAGGGCCAGTCGAGACATGGGTCTATGAACAGACTCCAGAGCCAAACACGAACCAAGACAACCCAGGAATCCCAGCCTCCCAGATGCCTTTCCTGTGGGGAGCGAGTTCTTCATCCCCAGGTAGATTGGCCTGCGGTGGGCTGGCAGTAGGCAGACTTGCATAGGGTCTAGGAAGCCTGTGAGATAATGGGTCTTAGCAGGTATATACAAAACAGCTAGCCCAGTCAGCTCAGGCTTTATGGAGGAACAGAAAAGGATTCCCCAAACAGCTTCAAATGGAAAGAAGAATGCAACACCATTCTTCCATCTGAGTAGGTAGAACCCCTGCCATGAGTTAATGCCCAGTAGCAGGCTTCATACTGGTCAGCTAGAGTTCTGCGAAGGATGGTTAAGGGCAACCAAGAAGAAACAGCCTGAGGAATTTTCTTCTCAGTCTGCCTCGCAATCCTGATCATTAGCCCTACACCAGAGCCCCTGACAATTTCTGGTGGTGTAGTGAGCGATGTATTGGACTCCTAGCTGAAAATGTCATCAGTTCTAATCCACCAACATCCCTGAGGGAGAGAGACAAGCAGTTTGCACCCATAAAGATTTACAGCCTCAGAAATCCAATGGAGAGTCACTAGAGTTAGAGTCAATTCCGAGGGCAATGGGGCTTTAGTGGGTGAGTCCTTGTCACCTGTCCACATATACAAGACTGTGTGTGGCTCACACTGCCTGCTTCTTACTCCTCCATCTCCCCATCTCCAAGTTCAGAAGATACTTCCTTTGTCCAACCAACAGAGAAGAAGCACTCAAAAAGTGTCAGGCTCTGTGTTGAGCTGAGATGGTACAGAAATGAACAGGACTCAGACCTGTCCTTGCAATTTCAGTGGGGGCAGCTGTACGCTAGGCAGATCCCAGGCTCTGATGCAGGAAGCACTCAAAGCTAGTGCCTCAGGTGGTGCTGCACTCAGCCTCAGAGGAGGTGAGAGCAAGGCTGGCCGGTTTTAAAGAACAATCAAATAGGCACAAGCTAGAATACAGGGAAAACATGCTAAGTGAAGGGAGGAGCAGGTGCAAAGGCCCAGAGACTAAAGCCAACCTTTGTTATTTACACCCTGAAGCCTTCATGGTGGGTAATTTATCTCCTTTTCTCATTGAGGCAGCCCACAAAGCCCACCCTCAAGTCTGACACACCTACACTACTCCTGCTGCAGTTTTCTTTCTCAGCCCCAAATCCCCAAATTCCACCTGGGTCTTGCTGGTCAGTCAAGCTGAGCTCAGTAAGGGTGGGGGCGTCCCTAGAATAGGGTTCAAAACAGCTCCCCTGCTCAAGCTGCCAAGGAAAGCCCTCTTGCCAGTGTGCACCAAGCCTGCCTCTGTCCCGATGACAGGGACCGCACATGCCTGCTGGCAGATCTGCCCAAGAAAGGAGGGAGCCAGTATGCAGGTGGGGCAACAGGCGTGGCTCTGGCTGAGAGGTAGGGCTGGCAGGAGCCCAGCCTAAGTCCCGTTGCCTGGACAGTCTCTTCCGCTACGTGGGACAGGTGCCCAGAAGCCTGAACTTGTCACAGCTGGGCGCTCAATACTATCGTGTACCTGTATGGGAACGTCTCAGTGGTGACCCCTCCCCAGACAGTTATGGCGAGTTAGGTCCTCAATGTCAGGCAGTTTGGTCTCCAACCCCTTGCAATGCACCTTCTGCAGGTTCCTAGGGTCCTGACCATGTACCTTCAACAAAAACCGTCATGTGACTGTTCTCCCTGACCTGGGTCCAGGCATTTCTATGTTGTTCCTTGGGCTCAAGTCCAAGAAAAAAAAAGACAGGCTCCCCAGGGTGAAAACTGCTAATCTGGTCCCTGAACCCCAAACTGCAGTTATTTATCCCTGTGTGTATGGAGTTTCCTGGCACCTCTGGCCCGCATCAAAGCATAGCTGGCCATCAAGGGTCACAGGCTTCCTGATGCAGGACACTTCTAGGGCCAAGACACAAGAGAAAAAGCCAGGAGACCCGGGTCTAACTCTGGCCCCTGTCCCTCCCGGCCCCATGACCCAGCCCTACATCTCCTCAGTCGCCATAATGACCACAATCAACCTGGGAAGAGGCTGGCTAGAGGTCCTGGACTGGACACTGGGAGGCAGTGGTACAAGAAGCACCCTCCCCAGGTCCAACGGGCAGCAGAGACGGGCATTTCACCGCGTCAACACTTGCTCACTGCAGCCACCCCCTCACTGCGGCCGCACTCACAGCAGCAGAGACAGGAAGAGGCAAGCGCCCAACGCAAAGCAGCCCAGGAGGCTGGGCCGCCGCCCCTTCCCGCCCCTTCTCTTCCTCCCGCAGCAGCGGCAACAGAGCGGATGCCATTTTGAAACCTCCGGGGCTGTGCCCCCGAGGCCCAACCCTCAGGGACAGTCAACAGATGGGCCTGTGATAGACAGTGGCACTGTTCTCGGTCAGTCGCTGCCTGAAAACCCCAGCTTTTCAGAGCCCCAAGGCAGCTCTGGGACTAAGGGGCCACACCCCCCCACAGACTCACTATGCACCCTAGAATGCACTACAGAGGCCTTTTTGACCCCCACCCTGAAACTACTGGGTCCCACACCTGCTCCCCATGGAAGGCTGGACAGGGACGTGCACTGAGCCCGTGTCTATGCAAAAGGCCCGCTCAGATGCTGGAGACATCTGGGGCCTCCCCTTAGTTCGGCCCCAACTCCTTATTCATCTGGCCCACCACTTTCCCCTCACAGGACCCCAAGAGCCAATAAGCCCACTCCCCAGAAGGCGAGATCCAGCCTTTCAGCCCAGATGATGTTGGCCTGCCTGCTCGCAGGGGCAGCAATATGTCGGCTGTCTCACCACTTCCACTTCCCCCCATCCCTGGAGCAGCCTCCATCTTTTCAGACCTTGGAGCCCATCAACTCCCCTACCCCACCTCTACTTTACAGACTCTGAGTTCTCCCTCCCCAGTTTCTCTTGGGTTTGGCAAATTGAAAACATACAAGCCTCCTGAGAGACTTGAGGCCTGACCTCCTCTTCAGCCTGGCCCAAGGGGCCTCAATCCAGCCCACTGGGACTGCCCAATCTAGCCTGGGTTGTCCCCAGTTCTTGGGCCCCCTCCTCCTAGCCCAGCCCACCAGTGCAGGAGGGGTGAGGGATGAAGGATCTGGGGAAGGCCACCAAGTGGGAGGGGATTTAGGGGAGGAATAACAGAGCACTAGCAGGGGTGCCAACAGAAGGGGAACTGAGGGTCTGAGAACAGGGGCCTCTGCACATTTAGGGGATCTGGCTGGCCAGAAGGCCCATGAGCAGTCACTTAAGAGGTTCCCTGGGGGCGGGGGGGGGGGTGTTGGAGGGCATAGGTGAAGGATATAGATCTAGAGTAGGAAAGGGACCCAGAGGAAATAGAGGGATTGAGCGAGGGCCAGAGAAAGCCTGCGGATGCTCACGTCCAGTTCTGTGGGGTGCAGGTGGGGAGTGAGGACAGGTGGAACCTGAGGGTGGGGTAGAGTGGGGTTCTAGGAAGGATGGAAGGACAAGACCGGGCCTCTGAGAGTCTTTCTGACAGCCCAAGAGGCTGTTAAGAAAGGGTGAATAGTTAGAAGGGTTCTGGGCAGCTGATGTTTGAGGGACTGTTGGCTAGTTCTGGGATTTGGGGATCTGGGTTAAGTTAGGTGATCTGATCTAAAACCTGGGCGACACCTCTTAAGTCTAGCCAGACTCAAGAGTTTCGGACCCCTATTTTGGAATCTGGGCTTAGGGTTCTAGGCCGGGCCTGGGGGTTCGAAGCCTTTGTCTGGGAGTTTGAAGCCCATGCCTGGGGATCTGGGCGGGAATCGGGGGTCCCAGCGAGAGATGCGGCCTCACCTAGCAGCAGCAACTTCACCTCCCTCGCCGCCTTCTCGCCATCCTCTCGCAGATTCTTGTCGATCATCTTGGAGCGCTCAGCCGCCGCCTTGTCCTCGGCGCTCACGGTGCACCCCATCCCGCCGTCCGCCCGGCCTGGCCGTCCACCCGGCCCCCACACGGCCCCGGCCCGGCTCGGCCCCGCCCGCCCGACTCCGCTCCCGCCACCGGCCCTCTGCGGGCAGCTCTCGGGTCGGCAGTTTCGAGCGTCTGCGGGCGGCGCCTTCCCGGCCGCGGCGCACCGACGGCGGGGCGGGCCGGGGGTGGGGCCCGGACGAGTCGGGCCCGGGACTGGGCTGGGGCGGGGCGGAAGGCGGGGCCATCCGAGATCTCAGGTCAATGATTGGCTGTTTTGGTTCGAGGCGGAGCAAAAGCTAGGCTCTGCTCAGGCACCGGCCTGGGCTGGAGGCGGAGCCACTCCGGAGACCTGAAGGTAGAACCAGCCGTGCCCAGCATTGGGCTGCGGGCTAGCGGCGGGCGGGGCCCCGATTGGATTCGGAGTGAAGAGACTAGAGTTCCGCCGACCTGACGGCTGGGGCGGAACTCCTAGCCGGAGGGTGGGGATCTGGTGCACCTCGCGGGCTGGTTAGGAACCAGCTTTTGAACTTCTGCGAGGTGGGTAAGCGGAGTGGAGGAGGCGTGACTTCCTCCCTTGTTAAAGTTAATGAACCGAATAAACTTGTTTAGGGATCTAACCCTGGAGCCTTACTGAATTGTGGTTTTCTCAATCTTAAAGCAGGCTTACCTCCTTCTCACTTTAGGATGCAGAGGGGAAATAAAAAAAGGGAAATGAAGTGGATTGCCTTTAGGCCTTTGTCTTGGCTATCTCCCTCTGCTGGGATTCCTTCTTCAACTTACTTAGAGAATAGACCGAGGGCATAGATTGTAGGAGAGATAGACGAGCAAGAGTGGAAGGTGAAAGCCTACCACTGGAGAGTGGAGACAGAAAATGTGGTCAAATTTGAGGTGAATCGAAGAGAGGTAGAGGCTGACAGTGCAGGGATTGTGAGAAGAGCTATGCTAGTTCCCTGGATCTTCCAGCACTTACCTTTCTACTAACTTGGCTGCTCATTTCCAGCCATGGGCTTCTCACAGGAAGCACAGCAGTTGTCCCATCCCCAGCTTTTGCCCCAAAGGCTGCACCTTTTCCACCTTCATCGGATCCCCAGGGTTTGGGCATGACTCTGCTTAGTATACCATTCACTTCAGAGACTCAGAACCCACCTGGACATCTCTAACCTGACTTCTCATCTGATTGCCAGTCCATGTCCATCATTATTCAGAAACCTCCCCTAGACATCTCAGTCGCTTCAAATCTATGATGTCTTCCTCTTGATCTGCTGGGAGTTGTCCTCCTGCAGACAGCCATCCTAGACTCCAGCCTTGGATGTGGCAACCAGAGCTCAAGGGAGAGAACTGCCACTGTACTTCTGAAAATAGATATGGCCACCATCATGACCTATCCCTCGTCTATAGGCACAACCCTAAGGCCTTTCCTTTCATGGCCTATCCTCTGGGGATGGTGGCTGCAACTCTATGGCCTGTCACCATTCACTTTGAGCAAGGAAAGGTGGGAACAGATATGTTTCTAGGTGAACATTTCAGTCTTTCTGATTCTGCAACAACAGAGGAGGAGCCCATAGCCCCCGGCCTACATTATTTGAAAGGTCAGTCAGGGTTCCCCAGGAAGATGTCCTGTATGGCCCAGTGTCATGACTCTGAAGTACCTGGATACAGAGACAGAGAATGTCCTTGAAGTGAAGTGGGAGAGCTGGCCACCACAAGTCCCCCTATTCTTCACCAACACCATCCTTCCCACTACTCTGGCATATACCTTGTTTCACCTCCCAGTTTTCAGACTGTCCCTTCTCCAAGTGCCTATGCATCACTGTCTGAATCTCTCCCTTGTTCCAGGAATTATTGCCTTGTGGGCCTTCCAATAGTCCACTCCCCCACTCCCTCCTGCCTGGAGTCAAAGCTAAGGCAGGCCCTGCCACAGGCAAGTAACAAACACAGCCCACCCAGGGACATGCTCTAATATAAACCCCGACACAGACCCAGTCAGAATTCTGCCCTATACATTCACTCACAAGCCTAGCCTCCCATATGCCTCTAATATCAGAACATCCTGTAAAAATGGGCCGTGCACACAGCCAAGAATACAGCCTATCTAAGCACAGACTACAAACAGCTCCAAGGCGGGCCTCTTCCCTGCTGACTTGTCCCTCAAAGCCTATCCTCTCTCCTCAGGCCTCCCCAGCCTGCTCCTAGCAACAGCCAACAGCTTTCATAGTTGCTGGGCAACAGGGAGAACCTGTCAGCCCCTTAGAGGCCCAGCTCTCCAGAGGTGGGCGAGACACAGACCCCAATCAATAGAAGCAGGGCTGGGTGGAGCTACTGGGATGAAAGGTCTTGTGGCTATGCTGGTTCCCTGGATCTTCCAGCACCTTCCTACCAACTTGGCTGCTCATTTCCAGCCATGGGCTTCTCACAGGAAGCACAGCAGTTGTCCAATCCCCAGCTTTTGCCCCTATGGCTGCACCTTTTCCACCTTCATTGGATCCCCAGGGTTTAGGCGTGACTCTGCTTAGTATACCATTCACTTCAGAGACTCAGAACCCACCTGGACATCTCACCTGACTTATCTGATTTCCAGTCCATGTCCATCATTATTCAGAAGCCTCCCCTAGACATCTCGGTCACTTCAAATCCATGTTGTCTAGATTTAGATGTATCTCATCCTCCACTGACCCCCTGCTCCTGAGTCCTAGATTCTTTCATAGCCTAAGGGAGAGAAGTCACCAGCCAGAGCTCTTCTCCTAATCCCTACACTCTGTCAGCCTCTCCCTCTCTTCAGTTCACCTCAAATTTAATCCCATGTTCTGTCTCCATTCTCCCATGGTAGACTTTCACTCTCCCCCCTTGTTCATCTATCTCTCCTACAATCTATTTTTCACATGGCAGCAAGTGGAAACAAATTACAAAATTCCTCCCTTGCTCCCAAACCTTCTATGACTCCCCAATGCCCTGAGGCTAAAGCCTCATATGTTCCTTTAGACCACTTAAGAGATGGGTAGAGTGGCAACTGGCAGCAAGAACCCTAGGGACCTGCCAAATATGTGACTTTGAACAAAAACTTCCTATGTCTTAAGTTTTCTCACCAGCAAAATGGGGCTAACAGTAATGCCTACCCACCACATAGGCCTGAGGTTAGGGTTAAGGGATAAAATGCTGAGAAGGGAGCTCTCTAGTGGCCTAGTGCTAAGGAGATGTGCTACCGATCCAAAGGCACACGGTCCTGCAGGAAAGATGGGCAATCTTCTCCTACATGATTTATTGCATCTGAAAACCCACAGCTGCGTCTGCTATGAGTCACTTCTAACTTCGTAGTATATAATAATAACAACAAAGTACTGAGAACGTGCCTTATTGTTGTTGTTATATGCCATCGAGTCGTCTGTGACTCATAGCGACCCTGTGTACAGCAGCCCTAAACTCCACCCTATCCTGTGCCCATCTCACCATCTCTGACACGACACACCTACCCCCATTACCCCAGTCACTGAATCAATCCATCTCATCGAGAGTCTTCCTCTCCTGCACTGTCCCTCCACCCTTCCAAGCATGACGTCCCTCTCCAAGGACTGGTCCCTCCTTGCAACATGTCCAAATTATGTCAGACGAAGCGTTAGAATCTTTGCCTCCAAGGAGCAGCCCGGCTTCACCCTCTCCAGGACAAACCTGTTCATTTTCTTAGCAGTCCATAGTATATTCAATACTCTTCTCCAACACCATAGCTCAAAGGCATCAATTCTCCTTCTATCATCCCTAGTCATTGTTCAGCTCTCTGATGCATAACAAGTGATTGCAAAGACCATGGCATGTATCAGGTGCACCTTATGTACAATAGGAGAACATTCTTTTTTTTTTCTTTTCTTTTTTTTTCAGCAGGAGAACATTCTTAACACATGGGAATTTTTCAATAGGAATGAGCAGTTATTAGAGTGAATTGTGTAAGGCCCCTACCATTTTTTGTAAGGCTCTCTCTACCCATTGATTGGTCTTCCTCATTTCAACAAACACATCAGCACTCCAGCCATCTGTCTAGCCTTTCTCCCTCATCTTCTTCTCCCTCCCCCTCCTTCCTTCCTCCTCTCCATCTTTTATTCCTTGCCTGTGAGAAGGCCTTTCTGACTCCCATTGTCCTGGGATTTTCCCCTTCCTAGTCCTATCCTTTTGATGCCTTTGAATTGTGGTGTTGGTGAAGCGTGCTGGACATCCCATGCACAGCCAAAAGAACAAACAAACCTGGTGTGGAGGAAGTGCAGCCGGAATGCTCCTTAGAAGCAAGATGATGAAACATCATCACACACATTTAGGGCATATTGTCAGGAGGGGGCATCATGCTGAGAAAAGTAAAAGGAACAGAGTAAAAGAGCACAACCTTCAGGGGGATGGATTGACACTGTCTGTAACAATGGGTTTAAGAATATCAGAGACGCTAAGAATGGGGCAGGATAGGGTAAGGTTCAGATCTGCTATCCTTAGGGATGCTATGAGTTGTGATTGACAACAACAAAAGTCATATCCCAGGGAGCTCTGGTGGCCTAGTGGCAGGAAGCTGAACTGTAATCCCAGAGGCACACCGTTCAAATCCACCAGATGCTCTGCTGGAGAAGTAAGGACAACCTCCTCCTGTACCAGTGAGATCCGATTTGACGGTACACACACACACACACACACACACACACACACACACACAAATTAAAAAATAATTATTCTTAAAAATCATTATTTTATTTTTTGTGTATGTACTGTCAAATCAGATCTGACTGGTACAGGAGGAGGTTGCCCCTCCTTCTCCAGCAGAGCATCTGGTGGATTTGAACGGTGTGCCTCTGGGATTACAGTTCAGCTTCCTGCCTCTAGGCCACCAATAATAAAATTTTTTAAAACATTTTTTAAAAAGGCATATCCTATCAACGTGGCGCGGAGACTCTCCCAACTAGATCCCTGACTCAAAGCCCTTTTATGCAAAACACTTCTACTGGAGGATGGCAGATAAATATGTCACATTGAAAGATTATACGAACTCTCCTCCATCCTTCCAGGGATTGCCATCCTGGAACTGGGAGAGATGTGAAATCTAGTTTTACTGAGCTCTGGCCACATAGCCGCAGGGGGTTGCACTGCTAACTCCAAGGTCATGCCTCTCTGGTGGTGTGAATCCATTAGCCCCTCTGTGAGACAAAGATGGGC